AGCTTTTGAGCGATCTCAAGGAGTACCAGACTCGCCTGCAGACGGACGAGGAGGGTGCTGCTGAGTTCTTGGTCGAGATCTTACTTTCACTCGTCTCTCAGCAGTCGTCGCTTCTACGCGAAATTTCGCAGCGGGTGTTTGGCTACTTTACTAGCAGAGTTTCTCCCAAGGCGCTGGAGCTATTGCTGGACGTCCTTTCCGCCGACGAGAGCGCCAAGGGGCAGCAGTCGCTCTTTGACGTCGACGCCGATGATATGGATCTTGAAGACATGGAAGAGGACGAGGAAGACGAGTCCGACGATGAGGCCGGTTCTGACGCTGAGGTGGACTCCAACGTCGAATTCGATGCTCTTGACGCCGGCGATGATGAGGAGAACGACGATGACGAAGGAGAATCTGGATCGGATGAAGAGGCAGACGACGAGGAAGCACAGAACCTCGCAGACCTCGACGACGCTCTCGGCCAAATTCTCAACAGCCACCGCCTCGACAAGGACGAAGACGCAGAGTCATCGGACAACGACTCGGACATGGGCGACGACGACATGCTGGAGCTGGACGGCAAGCTGGCCGAGGTCTTCAAGCAGCGTCAAAAGGCGGCGCCGAGCAAGAAGAAGGAGCGCAAGGCCGCCAAGGAGTCCGTCGTCAACTTTAAGAGGCGCGTGCTGGACCTGCTCGAGATCTTTGTGCGCAACGAGGCGGGTAGTCCGACGACGCTGGCGATCTTGCAGCCGCTGCTGCAGCTCGTCCGCACGTCGACCATTAAGACGCTCTCTGACCGGGCTTTTGAGCTGGTCAAGGACTACCAGAAGCGCGCGCGCAAGGCGAGGTCCGGTGGTGGCGGCAAGTCGACGGAGGACAGCAAGTTGGACCTTGAGGAGGCGGTCGAGGTCCTGAAGGGCGTCTATGCTGAGCTCAAGGCCGGCGAGACAAAGTCTCACGCAAAGGCCGCTGTGCCTGCCTGCCTGATCGCTGCTTCTGGCGTGTTCCACGCTGGCAAGGGAGACCGGGCTGCCGTTGATGCCATTGTTGGGGATGTGGAGGAGGCAACGGCGACGCAGCTGGAAATGAAGAAGGCCTGGGACGAGTGGTGCAGGAACCAGGAGGCTCTGAAGAAGAAGGCGGCCGGCGGTGCTGGAAAGAGTACATAGATGAGGGAGAAAGACTCAGATGGGGTCTAGTAGATTTTTATCTGATACAAAAGCTTTTGTTTCTGGCGCATGGGAATGGGATGGGAACAAAGATCTGGATTTGTGTCACGTCGAAAATAAAAGCATTGACCTCATGAGGCACAGGGAAGATTCTGGGCTCACGGTCTTGAGTATATTTAATACATAGAGCCCAACTTCCACAATTCATACAGATTTCGCAGATCATCATATTTTCTTTTCTCGCTTCTTGATACTTTCTACTCACCTTGAATTGGCTTGCCTTTTCAACTTATCTTCTACATGTCAATTTGATCCCTACTCACCCAGCTCCTTTAAATAGGAGAACACCAACCAATGATTTTTTTTTGTTTTTTGATATTACAAAATCGACCCAGAGTAAGCCCAGCAGACAATATCATGCCATATACCAAAAGGAAACTCTTCAAAACTTGACATCCCAAACTCCACCCTGGCGCTTGGGGTCGTTCCTAACAGGAACTTCACCGGCCCCTGAGCTTGCACCAACTTGGACAATTGTGGCATCACCTGGGCTAAATTCATACACTTCAACAGCTCGAGCCGTTCCAGTCTCATCCCCATGCCAGGTAGCTCTACGGCTCAACAACGTAGCAGGGGTAGGCAGGTGGAAGTCGGAGTTCCCATCTCTGCGCAGCCTGGCAAGAGTACCATCGTCCCTGCTCACCAATAAGCCGAAAGCGACCCAGTTAACCTGGGGAGGCTCCCTTGTATCATCACCACCCAGATTCCCAGAAGCTTCTCCATACGTCGAATCACCACTAGAAGAGATGCTCCGGCTGGTTAGCTCGGGTAGCGGGCTACCTGCTTCGGATTCGGTCTCTCGGTCCCAGAAAGAAAGGTCATTGGGCGGGCCCTCAAGGGCAAGGGAGTCTGTAGAATGAGACCATCTAGACTGGTTCCCATCATGAATACTAGAAGGCAAGCCCTGGCTGGGTGAGGCCGAGGCTGGATCCGGGTTGCGGGCTCTAAGAGCACCTGTTGCGGCCTCGACCTCTCTAAGCCATTGAGAGACGCCGATCTGGGTTTGATCAAATGCGAGCGAGTCTTCAGACGGAGACGAAGTGGAGCCTGAGCCGTCCAGCTCTGAGATCTCGCCGAGACCTACCGTGGCGTCCCCTGTGAGCTGGCGATAGCTCAGCAAGGAGGTGGAAGATGATGCCAGAGAGCCTTCTCTAGATAGAGGCAAGGGGGATACATAGTCCGGAGCTTGGTCAACCACTAACCGTTGCTGAGTCCTGCACAGCAGAGAGGCGAAGCAGCTAAAAGTATACATTTTGGAAGTAGTGTGGGTTGTGCTAGTATGCTCCTGAGCGCGTATTTGGATACGTATTTGGATTTGCGGCAAGGTAGTTTGGAGGTGTGTGATGAAATTGGGTGTGAGTACAATGGGTTCAGAGACTTGGACAATGGATCATCTCTTTTTGAGCTCATCCTTTCAGGCAAGAAACCGCCTTGGGTAGTTAGCAACCACCTTGGGTCGTTCTGCTTGAACAATGTATAGGAGGGAACAAGGACATTGTTCTCTGTCTAGTTGAAGGAAGTGTTTACTTCACAGCCAACTAACAAGCACTCTATACGTTTACTGGTGATATTATTCAACCTTGTTAGTTTAGGAAATAGATGATTGTGCCGAGTCATACTAAGTTCCCTTTCTACAGCACATGTTGGTCGTCATGTCTTTGTTCTTTCTCAAGACTGATTCTGGTCATTCTAAAACTACCATGACTTTAGTCCTACGTGAATGATACACAACTTCAACAAGAGCGTAACTTGATGTCAGGAGGGTTTACTTGGGCCCAAGCTGGAATAACAACAGAAGAAAAGGTCCACCGGCTTACAATGTAGACTGGAAATAAAGATTCAGAAAAGCTCACCTTTTGCGAAGATCTCTGTATTATCCTTTAGTTTTGAATGCTAGATATCATTAGCTTGATCTTGGATTAGAACCCTTTAATTGAGCTTTTGCCCGGAATGACACCCCTTTAGACCGTCCAACCGCACTACCAGCAACATCAGTTTTGTAGTCCAACACCCGGGCGGGCAGACGGCCGGTGATGCCGTCAAGGTCGGAGCCGCTATACCTTCTCGTCTGCGAAGGCGTGACTGTCATGCCGCAGATATCCTCAGATCAGCTTGGAGAAGCCAATCATGTTGCCATCCAATGTATCGGTTAACAGCCACGAGTACAATAATACAGTTTTCGACGTAAATCGACCTTGCTCACTTGCCCAATTTTACCGCGAGTCCTGGCAACCATGATGGAACCGTGGGAGTATAAAGTCAGCAGTCTCCTTCTCCCGTAGAAATCATAGGCTTTCTCCTTTATATCTCCACGTTCCATCCAAAAGCCAAGGTTTCTCCAGTCACCACCACCTATATAAAGTCACCCAAATGCATCTAACAACACCCTTCACGGCCGTACTCGGCCTCCTCATCGCAGCAAGCGCAGCTTCCCCCATCCAAAAAGACAAAGTCTCTATCCCGGCGGACGTATCCGATGACCAATCTTCGGCGATGACCGTTCCAATCGTAAGTCGGAAACCTGCAGCCTCTTGCCAGTACCGACATAAGTACTTCGACAAGATATATCTTGCGCATGAACACAGAAGCTAACAAACTCCACCACAGGACGTACGAAAAGCTGCTCTAATTCCATGTTCCCTCCGAGGATCTGTTTAGCTAACAAAAACCACAGGGACAATGCTTCTTCCGCTGCACCCCAGCGCTGATTATCGCTGTCACGTGGAACTCATGCATCAAGGATTGCATGGCGCCGAAATTGTCAAAATACCAAGGCAGAGTCGAAGATCGCGAGTGGCAGTGAATTGATTATGGAAGAATTTTGAGATTTTGTACGGATGGACTGCGGTGTAACGCTAGGCTGGTGGACTATTATCACAACTTACTACTGGATGAACATATCAATTACCTGTAGACGTCAACTTTGTCGAATCAATCTCTCAACACGCCGAGTCTCCGGTTAGAGCGAGACCATCAATGGCATAACAGTTGTAAAGTACATGAAGCTTCACATAGTCAGTGAACAAAGTGAACCATGATGTGTCTCCCCATATCTGTTCCGGGAGAAAGACGTGGTGTCTGTTTAGGAAAGTTTCATTCTCTCTTACTTTTGATTGCCTCGGAGAAGATGGTATGCCAGTGCCCTAGGCAAGCAACATATTTACCTAAACTAGGCTACAAGGGATTTTGGTCATAAATTCACACTTTAGGCACTGTTACGATGCCGTTCCGTTGGCGTTGCAGGTGCAGCCTTGGGCCGATTTGTCCATGTCAGGGGTAATAATTCACGATGACTAACACGGTCAACTGCTCGATGCCAAGATCTTTAGCAGCACAGTACACCCAGAGGAAAAGAAAAGAATGCTATCTATCCATACTGAGTGAACTTAAGGCTGAGAATCTCGCCAAAATTTGTCCTGTTCCCACGTGGTGCTTCCAAGTCGATCTCAGGTTCACCATCCCGCGGTGTGGCTAGACCGTTCTTGGAAGAAACACAAACACATCTCCATCCACTAACACTTGAGTTTGTCGTACATCTTGCAACTTGACGTGAAACATTTAGGAAAGTCATGCCTCTATGGTCAATCAACATGAATTCGCTTACCAAAGTAGATCACAGTCTCGTCCTATACATCTACACCCGCCCTCAGCACTAACTCACCTCATCTCCCAAGGAAACTTTCTCTCTTCACTTTGATCTCCTCGCATACCCGTCCAACTGTCCAACAACATTCACAAGCCCCAGCGATTTCCACGATCCCAAACCAAGTACCCAAGCCGCCGTTCTAATCAAGCACCCCACTGGGCCGGTCGATTATCCCAGTACCCATCAGCATTCGGATACGCCCGCAAACAGGCATAGAAACTAAAATCTGTCGTATCCGCCGGCCCACCCTGTCTGATATTCGGCGAGAAATGCGCCCCAATCTTCGATCTACACAAGGGACAGCTAAACTCCGCCGCCCACGTCTCCTCCGTCTCGTCACGCCCGTTGCGTGCCCCGCGGAGGTCCCGCAGCGCCAGCCAGCTCTTGAGGCACTTGCGCCCCACGTACTGCGAGCAGCATGGCAACATCACGGGCTCGTGATTCGGGTACTCGTCCCACTCGGACATGCAAATATTGCAGTTTGGCGACCCGTCGGCGACGGCCGCCGCGGGCAGCACGGCGTACATCATCGTCCTGGCGTCCGCCGACCGGTTCCGCGACCTCATGTCCGCGAGCGCAATTGCCGTGTTGCGGTTGATTGTCTCAAAGTGATGGAGGCCCGTGTCAAGCATCTGGCCGAGCCTGTCGGTAGGTCGGGTGCTGGACGGAAGGATGGGCCAGTGGTGCTCGACCCAGTAGACGCACTCCTGGATGAGGTCGGCGCCGGGGAGATCGGGGTCAAGGGTCAGGTACGCCGGGTGCGAGGCGTGGTCCTCGTAGTGCGGATTCGGCCACGGGTTGAGCACGGCGAGCAGGGCGCCACCAATATACATCATGATCTGCTCGTCTAGGCCGGCGTCTAGGGCGAGGAAGTTGTACAGCCAGGCGAGGAAGTGGTAGCGCCGCCACACGGCGCGGCTCCAGTCTTCCTTGCCCAGCCAGGGCATCCTGTGGGAGTGCCAGTACGCGCTCGATGGGTGTTTCTGGGACTCGTCCGAGCCCCTCTCTGAGATGGCGTTGCGGGCTCGCTTCGCTCTCTCCAGGAGCTTGTGTAGGCGGCGTTCGTAGGTGTCTCTGCTCAACGCCACGAACGCCATCTGGTGACCGGGAAAGTCGCGCTTATCGTTGTGCAAATTCTCCAGGTTGATCGCCCTCTCGGTCGGCCCGGTGGTAAGTTCCCACACATCCTCATCCTCATCGAAAGCTTGTCCCCGAATCTCCTCGGCAAAGGCCTCGAGAGTTCCAGCTTCATCGGTCCTGTACGCCATATCCTCGAGGATATGAGCTGCTTCGTTCTTCCTCATGGCAAACGCAGGGTTTACGCGCCAGACCTCGTCCATGGGCTTGCAGTCGCAGAGGAATACGTTATGCCCAATGTGTGTCCGCAACAGCTTGCACCAGATCTCTGGCCAAGCGGACGAGATCTCCATTTCCCACTCGCGGCTCTCGGCTTCCACGGGGAAAGGTTTCGATAGCATCGTCAAGGACAGTCTGAGTAGCTGGCGGAGGTAATTCTCGCGGTAGATTATGAATTTGTGAGTCGGGATGGCCTCCAAGTAGACCCCTGGGCCCGGGAGCCTAATGGTTCTGGGGATTGATTGCATTACTTCGTCGGGGCTGTCATAGTACGCATCGACGTTGCCGGTACAGAAGTAGCATTCTCCGTCCATTATCTGAACCAAGACTCCTCGACAGAGCCCGTTTATGCAATCCGTTGCGTGCAGATGAGCGCATCGGATCAAGTTGTAGACCCAATGGATATGCTTTCTGCGCGGTACTTCTTGAAAATCATGTTGAGTGTTCTCTCTGAAGACATTGTCTTCTTCTTTCACCAGATGATGGCCATCGATTCTTCTGTCCGGCAAAGGGTGTGTTTGTTTTTCGCCATCATGTCGCGTATATCCAGGTGGTTTCGTGCAATAATACCTGCGCCATAAGATGATACACATATTGAATACGGGGTCTCTTCGATGCTATTCAAACCTGCTCGGAGGCAGGTGACGTTGTTGCCGAATCGATGAATTTTACTATGCGCTTGGGGTTGATCATGTCTATTTGACCGGTCGCAAAGCCAACAGGAAAGGTTTCATTTATTGTTATTCAACCGCTCAACACTCTTCCAATACTCCAACTAAAGTTGGCAACTTAACGAGGGTTGAAAGAAACGCTTCTGCTCGAAGCAGCTCCTCTCGCTGTGCCCCCAGCCGAATGGGACAAGGGCCGCTTGTTGACGACGAAGGCAAACAAAGCCTCGAATGTAGATCAATTGTCAGAGTCCGTCAAAGACCATTTTCCCCTGTCACATGGATTCGCAGGAAAGACGCCACCGGATGAAGCCCTTGCATTTTTCCATTGTACTCCTTGAGCCCATTGTCCTCAATTGCTCCGACAGAGTATTGAAAACCACCCTTCTGGCGACTTCATGTCGTTCGCTCTTTGCTTTATTTAGAACTTCATGAAACGTCTCTAATTCCCAAAATACGACGAAGAGGACCCGGGAGGTCACGGTGTCCAAGTGCTGCGGATGAAGAGGAATGAAGAGCCAGGCCCCGAGTCACCAAACACCGGTGTACAAAGTGAGATGGGCCGTCATAAATACGCAGGTGCCTTTCGGGTGCGAACTGGAGCACCAGCCGGTCCTATCTGAGCTGCGCGACGTCCCACCAAATATACTTGGGTTCGTCTCCTAGCTTGAACTCCCACGTGCTGACCCAAGTAATCTCTGCAGAATTTCCAGTGACAAGGTATCGGAAAACCCCAGCTGATTCTCGCCATGCACCGTAAAGTTCCATTACACGGAGTGCCGGCATCTTCTTCGCGACCCTGCCATCTTGGGAAAGAAGAGTGTTGATGAGCTCGGGCTTCTTGCGGGAGCAAGCATCCTGGCATATCATCGTCAGAACACGCAGACGCTGCCATGGCAGAGGCGATATAGGTACGCATACTCTGCTCGTGCAGGCGGCAAAGAAGTATATGGCATCAACGATATTGCAGATGACAAGCTTCTCTAGATCGAGACTGCGAATGAACAGATTTCCGACCAAGCCGGGCCGGACTGATAGGCGCCAATTGTAAAGCATTTGTAGATCGCCGTGCTCGAAGATGTGGATTTTTGATAACAGTGGTTTCTCTCGATATGACCAGATTGTCAGCATCGTCGTCAAGTCTATATCAGAAATTAGAGAATCTTCCATAGAATGCGAAGAGGTGGGGTAGAAGACGGGCTGGCTTTCACTACTATATCATTGTCTGAAGAGTTCTGTTCCCGTGTATTGAGATGCCTCCATGGTTCGAAGTGAATTGAGCGCAATCTCGGTAGATACCTTGACAGAGTTTGCTGCAAAGGGGGTTAATTGTATTCTGCGCATGTTTCTACGCACAATGCTCAACCCGGTGACGCAGTTGACGTAGGGAAGACTGAAATCTCCAAGGCTAATAGGGGCAAACACGTATCGCTGCTGTTGCTGCCAGTAGTCCAAGAGCTCTTCTATTCCGCACGAATTGCCGACATCGTTTGGCGAAGAGGCACTGATCTCCAAGTTGATACTTGGGTATGTTGGTTCGCCAACTGAATCGAAATCCTTCTATGCTTCGAGAATACAGAAAAGGACCAAGATGTTGATGGCGAAGCATCCGCGGTCCGCTGCGATCTCTTCATGAGTCTGACGTCTCGAACGATTCTTGATGCAATGGTCCGGTCAACTCGATTTTGAACCCCATGTGTTTAACGTAGTTTTGTCGCCAGTACTTGTTGTGTAATGTCTTGGCCAGGTTTCCCAGCGACTGATCATCCGAACCGACTTGGAGGACCCGAAAGTTTCTTGGCTCGATGGCGTTTTGCCAGTCCCTGCAAATGCCTGCAAACCTTCCAGGGACGTATTCGAGAATCTTGCCTCTGATCTCCTGGGGTAGGTCGCTCCATTGGGCCTCGCTTTTAAATGTATTCATGTCGTTTGGTAGGATACTTTTGATAGGATATTTGGGCGCACTTGTTGTCAGACAGGCACAATGGGGAAAATCGAGTATGTTTGGCTCCAAGTCAAATTTCCTGAGAGGTTACCGCCGAATGCTCATGGAATCTGAGGAAGGGCGATACCTCGGCTCAAAAGGGACCAGTAAATAAAGAGGAAAGGGAGAGAAAGAAGCAGAGAGAAAAGGAGAGGAAGGTAAGGTATCCACTTGGAATCTCGACTCCTTCCTCCCGTCCTTCACCTCACCACATCTTCACCTTCACCTCCACCTTCACCTTCACCTCACCCGGCCTCTATCTTTTCCTGCCTTTCAATCCCGTTGCTACCTACCTTAGCCAGCTACTGGGTACTCCCCAACACATCGCGGGTCGAATGGTTATAAGGGAAAGTGCACATTCTTATCTACACCTCCTTTGAGGACTGTACCTTGCCCCATTCTGGGTAGGAAACACAGTCCAAGGCTTTCTGTGCTCCCTTGACCTCATCGTACATTTGTTGACTTTGTACCACAGCTCGCATGTCAAGCAGTCGTGCAAAACATTCATCAGTGCCACCAAGAAAGTTAACGATAATCCGCGAGCAGTGTCTGATCGACTGGCCAACCATCGTGAAGATGCGCTGGAGATGGACAGAAGCCGTCAAACGACAGACCTCGACGATGTGGAAAGCTTACCTCAGCTGAGGTACTCAGCACTCGCCTGACATAAGACATCAAACCCACACAATTAAGGGAGCGAGATCTGGATCAGTCTAGGCCTAACGAGGATTGGTGCGATTTGTGAAGGCGACAGAATCCCTGCCCGCAGAGGTCGGAACCTTCTCCTTTCAGTTGGGGCCCTCTTTGCAGATGCACCAGGAGGGCGGGATCCCCTGACGCCTGCGACCCTTTTGCCTTTGCTTTGCTGCTGCTTCCCACCCCCGGCCGAAGCAGAGGCCAGGAAAAAAAAAAGATACCTTGTCCACGGGAAATTCCACCTCATCCAGAATCTCCCCCAGAGAGACCACATTTCCCATTCGCAATCTTGTGGGAAAAAAAATTCCTCTTCTCTTCTGCAGAGACTCGACAGATTCCTACCGGACGGGATACTGTCAATTCGAGACGACGAGTCAGGAGGATACTAGGGAAGGAAAAAAACGAGGTACGTGGTTGTTGTTGCTTAGCTGGCAGCTCGCTCCATGCCATCAGTTGTTCCCCACGTTGAGACGAAGCTAACAACACCTGGCATCTAGCCACAGCTGCGCTTTCTCGATCCCGATACTCCTTTACCTTTCGGCCATTGCGCGCCGCCTTCCCATTCCATCAGAACTCGACTGGACTCGGCAACGACAAGATGAAGCTCAGCAGCATCCTGTCCGTTGGCCTTTTGGTCGTCTCGCCCCTGGCTGCGGCCTGGAGCAAGGAGGGTACGAGCATCGCCATCCTGTCTTGTCTCCGTTGCGCAGCGTTGGCTAACGTGTGAAAAACAATAGATCGTGAGATTTTCCGTATCCGCGATGAGATCAAGGCCCACGAGGCCAACCCCGAACAGACCTTCTACGACCTCCTCGGCGTCAAGAACAGCGCTTCCATCGACGAGATCACCAAGGCCTACCGCAAGATCTCCCGCACTCTCCACCCTGATAAAGTTCGTCAGCAGCTCATCGCCGAGCGCACCAAGGCTAAGAAGAAGGAGAAGAAGACCCCCGGCGTCAATGTCTCCAAGGCTCCTACTCAGAAGGAGATCAAGGCCGCTGTCAAGATTGCCTCTGAGCGTCAGGCCCGCCTCGGTCTCGTGCGCAACATCATCAGTGGTCCCGATCGCGACCGCTACGACCATTTCCTGAAGAATGGCTTCCCGGCCTGGAAGGGCACCAATTACTATTACAATCGGTACCGCCCTGGTCTGGGCACTGTGCTCTTCGGTGTCTTCCTTGTGGCTGGAGGTGCCTTCCACTACATCGCTTTGTACATGTCCTGGAAGCGCCAGAAGGACTTTGTCGAGCGCTACATCAAGTTCGCACGCAATGCTGCTTGGGGAGACAACCTGAGTATTCCTGGCATCGACGACACCCCCGCCCCTGCTCCTGCTGCCCCCGCCGCCGACGATGAGGAGGGCCCCCAGCTGCCCAGAAACCGCAAGGAAAGACGTATGCAGGAACAAATGGCTCGCAGAGAGGCCGCCAAGGAGCGCGGAGGCCGATCCCGCAAGCCCGCTCCCGCCGCTCGCAGCACCAGCGGCAGCGGTACCGCCACCCCCCGCGAGACGGTTGCGCAGGCCGGTCAGACCGGCCCCACCGGCTCCAAGAAGCGCGTTGTCGCCGAGAATGGCAAGATTCTTGTGGTTGATTCCCTCGGAGACGTCTACCTCGAGGAGCAGGATGAGGATGGCAACACCGAGCAGTACCTCCTTGACGTAAGTGCCCAAAATGCAAGCTAAAGCTTGTCAACCTACCGCGACACGAGGTCTGCGAACGATGCTAACTCAAAGCAGCCCAACGAACTGCCTCAACCCACCATCCGTGACACCGCGCTCGTCCGCCTCCCCATCTGGGCCTACAACCGCACTGTCGGCCGCGCCCTCGGCAAGAACACTACTGAGCTGGAGATCGACACCGAGGACCTGGACTCTGATGACGGCGAGATTCAACACACCCCCAGCTCTGACTCTGCCGCTGATGACTTTGAGCTCTTGGAGAAATCGACTGATTCTTTGGGCAAGGCCAAGGCTTCCGGTGCGCAGACTGGAGGCAAGACCAACAAGCGCAAGAACAAGAAGCGTTGAGGCATTGGTTCAAGATCTGGCTGATGTATAGAGCTTCACGGCGGGCCTCTTCGAACCCTCTGACGGGTTTTGCGACCTTGATTGGTCTTGAGGATCAGACAAGCGACCCAGAGGTGCATGATGCGTCATGAAGCTGCAGCCAGTCTCGTCGTTTACGTAGACTATTCATCAATGCAAATTCTCGTACGAATTGTAAAGTACAATCGGAAGGCCACAATCTGTTGAAGGTGTCAGTGTGCTGCATCGTGTCTAGTGCATTGTGCATTGGGGGATGAGGTTTGTTGAGTATGTGTGTGTGTACTTCACAACAGGCCGTGACAGATACATCATACGGGCACACTTGTTTCCATTCCATTTCTTCACACCATTGTCCTCGAGCACCGGAGGAAAGGCCCAATGCGGTTAATGTTTCCCGTCAAACATGTCGCGACCCTGCGCAAGTGCGTGAGGCCGTTTCCTGCCCCTCTGCACCTCATAACTCTGTTCCGTCCCTTCCTATGGCATCATGGCTGCATGATGATTTGTTGGCACAGAAGATCAAGTGTCGCTCGGTGGTTCGTCCGCTTCACGTAGCGGCGATAGGCTTTTGCAGCACTCAACTTACACCAACACCAACAACAACCCTCGATGATGTTTCTTTGGCAACCATCACAGCCAGTCAGCCAGTCAGCCTGTCAGTAGAAAGCACAGTGGTAGTCTTGACTCGAAGATCCATTATCTTCAGTCCACCTCTCCTATCTTTTGCGTCTATATCCGTACCTCACAACCGAATGTTTCCATCCACCACAACCACCACAATCCAGCCTCTCAACTGTCGGCCTGAAACATAGGAGATCCAATGCCAAAAACAGACCACTTGTGCCTAGCTTATACCCAAAAGAAACTAAACCCGTAAGCCAAGCGCCCACCCCGCTCTTCTATGATCTACGGCGACGACCAGGGCTCGAGCGCGCCGCACAGCAACCACGCAACCCAACGCTCGAGCCGCATGGTCGCCCGTTTCCGAGCCGGTTCCAGCTTCGCAGCCCCATTGACCTGATGATTCCTTGCCCTCACCTCTTCTTACCACGCTTTAGCGTCTGTTCGCCAGAGACGCCAATTGAACCGCTAGATGGAAACCCTATCTCAATCAAGACGCTACTTGCGTTTTTCCTACGCTTCTGACTGGCGAATATGTCGCTGGCTTCAAGTTGGCTTCAAGGCCGTTCCCTGTCGACCTCTTAGATAGAACCCAAGGTTGCCTCCCACCCCTCAGAGGCTCATAGCTAACGGAGCAGTCCAGGAACCTTCGCCAGCTTCGTCCCACCATTGATCTCGTCTCCTCAATTACACATACACACACATGGATCACTCCCCAACACATGAGCCGCGTTCCCAAGATCCTCGAGGGCGTCGGAGATTGTATTCGGACCTCTTTGGACGAGCGTTTAGTGACGATGGTCCCGCCCGCTACCTTCGTCTAGACTCGTGTGTTCAGGTCGCCCGGCTCTCCACACCCGGGACACTAAGCTATTCTTAAGACTGGCTCGTACATCGAGATATGAAGCTACCCCTAAACCTATCTGCCACTTCGGTTGAGACGTTCTTGATATGTATATCGGGTAGCCCCTCCCTTGACCCTGGCGGGTCCATCTCTCTCTCCGTCGTCCGCTCTCTATATCGTCTTCCCCGGCCTGGCCCCGTCGACTCGGATCACACTCTGCACATCCCATTCTACCAAGCTGCAAACCGACGGTCCAATGTCACCCTCGTCATGACGCTCACGTGAAGGAGAAAAGAAACAATACTGCCTACCAAGGGAATACCCGTGGATGCTTCGATCCCATCATGGAGGATCGCAGCGGGCAAGTGCTGGCCGTGGCGGTCCTCTTTTTCATATTATGTTGGATCGCCGTCGGCCTGCGCATATACTGCCGTGGATGGATTACACGATCGCTCGGCACCGATGACAAGATGATGATCGCCCTCATGGTACTTCCCTACGAGACATCACACAACAAGTAAGAAGTACACACTCGCTGACTCTCTTGGCAGCTCATCTTCACCATCTACCTCATCACTCAGATTCAAGGAGTTCGATATGGAACAGGCCGACATAGAACCGATCTCACCCGGGAACATAATCGGGACGCTCTCATGGTATGCTCTTCTCGGAGGCCCTTTGAGTGCAAATGAGTGCTACCAGTAGAATCGCGACTAACACCCTCTCTAGTAC